AGTAATGTTATCTAATGAAATCAATATGAGTCAACTGTAAAGTAGTCTATCTAAATCATCTAGTCTCTCATATTCAGACGTCAATGTGCGTACACCATTAGTTTGCCAGTAAAAAAACAATATTCTTAAACAGTTATGATCGTATAGATTATCAATCAACATATCGATTCTTCTGCAAACGAAGTTTGATTCATCATCGGTAATAAAAAGTTAAAATGCTATCTTTGATAAAACAAACATTAAGATCGGTTAACCAAAGCGCTCGAACTCGAGAAGAACTTCGAACCGATAAAACCATTATAATAAGCGATCATTCAATCGATCAGGTAAARTCACACTAGCTTATCGTTTGATGGTAGTTTACCTGAAAGAAAAATCCGTTGGCGTAAAGAAAATCTAAATGAAATTAGGGAAACTAGGGTAGATCATTTATATGTTTTAAGCTAACATACAGCAAACACAACGATAGCAGCTACAAAAGAACCAAACGCTTACCCAAAATCACTAGCAAATATACCGCTAAAGCCTTCATATTCTACTTCATAAAAAGAGTATTAAAAATCATCGACTTCGTCCTTCATGCTCCAAGTGATTGAGAAACAATTCCAAAAGTTTTAGCATAACTTTGACATCGTTGCTATTGTTAGTAGTTGATTTCGGTAAAAACTATCYGCGTCTTGAACAACACCGGATTAAAATCAACCATCAAGAGAGAACTTAGAATATCATCAGAAAAGATATGCATAAAATCAAAGCTTAAATATAATTTCATAGTACTTTAGAGCCTGAATTAATTTCCTTAGGAAAACTCTTTTTCCACTTTTTATCAAGAAAGATAAGAAGAGTAGAATAAGGTAATAGAAGTTAAGAGAATTACAGTTCGTCTGGTRGAAAGCAAGATAGGTTTTCTCCTTACATAGTTGGAATGCAAACAATTCTCTGGGGGCGGTGCGGTAGAGTACGGTATGAAAAAGTTGATGCAGTTGTTTAATTTTTCCTTTTCAATAAAAGATAAATATCTATTATATATCATTTTCAAAAAGACAACAATAAATAAATAAATATTTTTGTAAAAACATTGGAATTTGGAGAATGCTGAATTAAAGTGACGTAGCAGTAAAATGTTTATCTAAATTCCCGATTTTGAAAAAATAGCGAAATTAAAGTGCAAATTTATTATCTATTTTTGGCTTGTTAAGGGAATTTGCGTTCGAATTTGGAAACCAATTATAAATGATTTAAGAGAATGAAATCGCGAAAATGAAGTGAACTCCGAACAAACAGTGCGTGGAGGGTACGGAAAAACAGTGGATGATGGGCTACCTGTGTTGCTRTCATGTGACGTTTCTATTATTATGTAATGTACAGAAAGTGTCTCAAGGTTTTCTTGCAMAACACGTTCTCTCTCATAAAAAACATGGGTACTGGCGTGCTATCGTTATCCAAGGCTGGTTTTTACCCAGTCTATGTGCTTGTACTGCTTCTAGGTGCTTATTTATTAAATCAGCTTGATAGATACGCTCTTGCTGTAACCTCACAGCCCATGGCCAGAGAAGTTAAGTTCGGAGACAAAGGCTGCTTACCTTACAACACTTCTCTTGGTTCGAAGGTCAAAAAGCTGTGTGTTAAAAGTTATCTTAATTCAGATAATACAGAAAAAAACGAAACTGCGTAAGTATTTGCTTTTCTCGCTCAAAGGCCACGTCAATTTTATTTTGTCCTTTTGTTGTCGTTGTTTAGGAGAACCAGGTTGGAAAAAAAGCTTAGCTTTACCTGTTACGTCGTCCTCAGTAAATATAGAAGTGTTATTATTATTATTGTTGTAGCGAGCTGTTGTTAGCATGTATAGTGACGCTTTGCGGGAGGTGGGGAGGAAAGGAAGAGAACTGGGGAGGAGGACAAGGAGGGAAGGGAAGAGAGCTCTTCTCTCCTCCCTAGTCACCTCCCTTTCCTCCCCACCTCCCCCAAAGCACCCCTACGCAGACCATGCTGTTATCATCCAAGCTGCGTGGAGTTGGGCTCCCTATGCCATATAGTAGTAGTTCTTGCCCATGTTCAAAGATTCCTAACAATGTAGTTCCCACTAGAAGGGTCCTCGAGAACTCAGTGCACACTTCAAATGAATATGTTGAATAAGTTATGAAGGCAGGCAACTTCTAATTCTTGCAAAAATCTTAATAGACGTTTTGACCTTCTGTCTTCATCATTAAGGATAAAATGGAAAAAACTGGTGGAATTTTAAGAAAGGAACTCCTATTTTGTAAACAGAGCAAAATTAGGAATTGTAATTGTAATTTTTGTTTACATTTTTTGTACTTTTTGTTTTGCTTGAGTGGGGGGGGAGGCATGCATCATGACCCCTGCCTACATCGCACGCCTACATGTTTTGTTTGTACAGTTACCAAATTTGAGTCACATTATTCAAAATCTTACCTCATGTAGAATCAAAACTATTGATTTATTATTGTTCTACCATTTACCAGGTGTAGGTTAAAAAGAATGCAAAACTCAAATTTCTCTGGCCAAATATGTATCTGGGATTATGACGGCACAGGGGAAGAGTACCAGATACTTGCTGGACCTGTATTCATTGTTATTTATACTTTGAGTGGAGTTATTTTGGGTCTTTTCACTGGCACGTTTAACCGCAAGAACATCCTCATTGTCTGCCTTCTTCTTTGGAGTGCAATGACTTTGCTGACAGGATTTGCTAAACATTATTGGCATTTACTACTTACAAGATTTATTCTTGGGATAGGGTAAGTCACATGTTACTAGATTATTATTACTATAATATTTATTTATATTTTGGCCACCTGCTGATAAACCTGCTGACTATTCATTACGTGGTCTTTTTTTGTTTTCAGTGAGGCTGGTTGTACACCATTTGCAGCAAGTTTGATTGCAGACTATTTTCCTGAGGTATTTTTGATAAATAAATATATTTATGCCTAGAAATATCAAATTGCAATATGTGCTGAGCTCAGCTCAAGACCAAGCACATTTTCTTTGCCACAAGTACAATCAAAAGAATGCCGACAGGTGGAGAAAGGAATGAACACTAAAAGTTTGATGTTTGTGGGTGAAATATTAGAGAAGTAGACTTTACATATGTTTTTCTGAGCATGAAAATTCAGTTAGGCAACATCATTAGTAAGACCCATAAATATTCAACAATCAAAATTGATACAATCATTTTCTTCCTGGTTATTGATAATTTTAGACAGTATCATGCACGTACTCCAATATTTGTTTAAGGCCTAGGGCAAACATCGAACTTTCCATGTGCCGAACTCATTAAAAACAAATGATATCAGGTGATAATGAGGTGGCATTCTTTGATGTAATTAAGTTCGGTTCATGGAAAGTTCGACGTTTGCCCTAGGCCTAACATAGTTCAAAGTATTTTTCTTTGTCTTATTAATATTTAACCTATTTTAATTTTTTTCATTAAACATCAGTGGTAAATTATTTCTGATTTTATCAACCATTTTTTGTGTGATTTTATTTCAAGTCTCTTCGTGGAGCAGCTCTTGGAGTTTATAATTGGGGCATTTATATTGGATACAGTATGGCATATGCTTTCGGCAACTACATCACCAAAGCTAACATCAATGATCAAGGATGGCGGTGGGTGTTTTTCATTGCAGCCATTCCTGGCTTTGTTTTGGGCCTTTTAATGATGTTTACTGTCAAAGAACCAGAAAAAACTGAAAAACAGGTAGGTGCACTTGTCAAAATGGCCTAGAACAGAATCTTGAATCCAACAATCAGAACCTCAGACTTTACTATGTTATCTATAGCATTTGTAGAATACCATGCATCATAACAAAGTAGGTTTTGGTAAATGTCAGTCAAGGTGTTTCCATGTCACTCCATTGGCAAGTACTGCTTAAAAAGCCTTGCGCTTTCTGACAATGTCATGGAAACCCTTTGAAACCAAAACAAAACTGAAATGCTATTTTGTGCATGTGATTACAAAGCACTGTAACCATTAAATTAGCAACTGACAATTCAATCAACTGTCATGTATATGCAGACATACTGGTGCCAACTAGTATTCATTATTCTTATGGTAAAAGCTATTAGGCGTTTGGTAAGACATCAGATTTATTCTCTAGGAGGAAAACAAGTATTTCCCAGAAATAATGCAACAAGAATCATAATAAGAAAATTATTTTGTTAAATACCAAACAGTTCATTTTTTAAATGGTATGGTTTGATTTCATTTCTTGTTTTTTTCTCTCTGTATTTTAGAACATTGGATTTAGCAAGGCTCTCGCTCTCAAGATCAAACTGCTCCTAATGCTTAAGACCTTTCTGCGACCTTCCTTGATCATTCTCTTTGTTGCTGGTGCAATTCGTAATGCTGGGGGTTATGTATGGGCTTATAATACACAGCCCTACTTTAACAAGTATTATCCTGACACTGATGTTGGCAAGTACATGAGTTGGATTCCATTAGTTGGTGGATCATTTGGCGTAGTCTTTGGCGGGTTTATCTCAGATAGACTGGTTAAGAACAGAGGTTCTTATGCAAGAATCTGGGTGCTTGTTGCTAGTCAGGTAAACTAAATGACACTCATTGGGTTCACTCGTATAACTTTATAAACAAAAGAGTATGTGTCCCCATTGTCAAATATAATAACTACTATTTTCTTATGGTTATTAAGATATTGGTTTATGTTACCTACTAATTTTCTGGTTTTACTTGCAGATTATAGCGGCCCCTTTTGCAGCAGGAGCTCTATTTCTGAAGCCTCCCTGGGCCTTTATCAGTCTTATTCCATCCAATATCATTGGTGAGATGTGGGTGGGTGTAACTCTTGCTGTTGTGGTGGAGTTGGTCCCTGTCACGATACGTACTGCATCTGTGGCTTATTATCTCTTCATCATATCTATCATTGGAGGAAACGTTCCACTATTAGTGCCCATCATCAAAAAGCCGCTTGGTTTACGTAATGCCCTGTATATCTTGTTCCCTGGTTTGTATGCCTTGAGCTCTGCCCTCTTCTTGTTGACGTTGTTTGTGCTCAAGCGAGATTTACGACTTGCGGACGAAACGAACGTTTTGGATGTTACGTCACCTCTTTTGCCTGATTCCTCCAAAGAAGATTCCAGCAGCAAAATGATATAGAATATTGAACTGTGATAGGCTATGCAACTGTTGAAGATATACTATTAAACAACTTACAACAATTTCTTTGGCAATTATGATTATTTCCTTACACTTTACGGGGCAGTAATCATCATCATCTTCATGATTAATGTTCCCCATCCACTGTTGCAGCAGGTTGAGTGCCCAGGACCATTTCCAACATGAGCAGGAATCGTGTTTTATCTTACATTTCCTTTAGTCAGTCCAGTGGTCTCTATACAGTTTATCCAGAGGTCTCGACCATAAAGATCGCTTCGTGTTAGCTTTATTTCAAATAACGATCTTTTGTCTAAATTTTTCACAAATAACAAATTGTTGTAGATACTATGAGGGTACGCGCGCGCCAARGTCAAATTTTGTTACACCATAGTTAATGAACTATAAACTAGTTAATTAATAACTTTTATACTATTAACTGTGGTGGAACTTGCAACAATTTTAGTCTTCACGGACAATTCGTCTTGCAATAACAAGTTTCAAGTTTATTACAAATTATAAAGATATGCATTTACAAGTTAACAAATAGCAATTAAAAAATCTAGACGTGAAGTGATATATTAAAATTATTACAAAGAATGCCTTCACTAAATTCATAAGCTCACTTACCTTCTTCGTAATTCGTTATACAGAAATTACACCAGAACTAAGAACTTTGATGTGCACACACTAAACGCTTGTGAGAATACTATGAAGTAATCAGTACTGTTTAATATAAGTAACATTCATATCTAAAAATAATTAAAACGTATAGTTTAGATTTGAATAACCATGACTCTGCAAATTATGTCGCCATTTGGAACTGTTGAAAAAAAGCGCAAGTTTTGGGTGACCTTTTAATATTTAATAGGTCTATATAAGCAGCAGTAAGGGGGACTCGCGGTCGATGTCAAAGATTTACGGGTTTTACAGGCGGTTTAAGGAAGGCGCCGGCAGCGGGAATAAGCCGCGCGCCGTGTCCTTACTGCTGCTAGTTGTCGAACCGCAA